GGCCTCTCTTGGGACCATGCCCTCTGGGACCCCTCAGTAAGGAGAGTGCGTGTAAACAGTGCAAGTGAGTGGGAATGCTGACCCAATGCAGGGGAGGGGCAGGGGCATTAAGCAGTGATACGGGGCAGGGTGCACGGCATCTGTCCATCTATTTACACATTCATTCCTGTATTTCCCATTCATTTGTCATTCATTCATTCATTCATTCATTCATTCATTCATTCTTGTACTCATGCAACACACATATGGTGAGCACCTATATGGTCAGATCCTGTGCCAGTTGTTGAGAATTTAAAGATGATTAAGATTCAGCCCCTGCCCTTGAGGGGCTCACAACCCTCGGGAGGGAGTGGCAGGCATCAAAACAAATCATTCCCACACGGGGGGTTTTCCTCAAAGCCTAGCAGAGTGCTGGGGGAGCAGCTCCACTGGAGGCCAGGACTTGGCAGGCCACTTACAGGGAGGCAAAGAGGGGAAATGTGCTCTTGGTAGAGGGAGTGTCGTGTTCAAAGGCACAGAGGCATGAGGGAGTCTGGCGGTTCAGCCGGGCAGGGCTGTAGCCAGAACTGGGAAAGCAGGGAACTAGATGAGGCTCAGAGCTGGGCTAAGTGAGAGTTTGGACTTTCCCCAGCAGGGATGAGGAATAATGAAGCGTAGTAACCTGGGGATGATATAGTCAGGCTTGCATTTTACAAAGACAAGGCAGTGATGACCAAAAAGAGGGAGACAGAGATGGAGCGGAATGAAGGAGGAAAGAACGTCCAGGCTGATAGAATCCTTCTAGGAACACCTCCCCCTCCCCCAGCCTCCCTTCCCTTTTCTTCATGACAGAGGCCCCAACCTCCCCCTCCCCCAGGTCACCTGACAGTCCACCCTCTGCCCCTCACTCCCAGGGTGTTCAAGAGAGAGCCCAGCTGTGTCAGTTAGGGCCCTCTGGACATCAGATAGCAAGACAGAATCGGATGTATTGGGGGTGGGAGGGGCTTTGGAAGGATGAAGTAGGAGCAGGAGAGGTGAGGAGAGCCTCAGGTGCAGAGCAGGCTGACACCTGTGAAAGGAGAGAGGCAAGGTAAGGCCTTGAGGGGGATGAGCTGCAGACTGCAGTGCAGCTCTGAGAAAGGCCTGGCCGGGTGATGGGAGCCCCTGAGCAGGATGGCCTGTTAGAGGAGTGCTTCATCGGGCAGTGGTGGCTGGGCTTGGTGCCTGTGCCCAGCTGTGGGCTGGGAGCCACCTGGACACAGCAGGGCCTTGGCCTGAATGGTGCAGTAGATCCTGGAGGCGCAGTGGCCGGAGGCTCCAAAGCCTCCTGTGCTCCTGTTCCCCCATCCCTCTGCCCACCCAGAGAGGGAGGAAGTGAAGCGAAGAAAGGCAGGACTTGCTCGCGGGTTTGATGGCACGCACACTGCCGAGCCTCCTAGAGCTTTGGTGTTCCAACCTGTAAACTATGGGGCATAACCCCCACTTGGAAGGAGGGAATGGATGTTTAGGGTCCTCTGCACAGTGCCTGACGCGGGAAAGGAAGGCCTTGACCAACACCAGCTGGAGTGGGTTAGGAACAGGGGCTCCAGGAAACGGCCCCTGAAGAGCCCCTGTGTCCCCTCAGGCTATGGCAACCTCAGCCCCCACACGATGGCCGCCCGCCTCTTCTGCATCTTCTTTGCTCTGGTGGGGATCCCACTCAACCTCGTGGTGCTCAACCACCTGGGGCACCTCATGCGACGGGGAGTACATGGCTGCGCCCGCAGGCTGGGGGGCGCCTGGCAGGTGAGGGGCCGTGGGAGTGGGGGAAGGCTGGGTCCCTTGTGGAGTGAAGGGGCGTGCTAGCGTTCGGGGCCACTGATGGCGAGTGAGGGCAGTCACTGTCCCCAGTGATAGTCTCTGGTAGAAAAAGACAGCTGTGGTGGGGATGGGGGCCTCAGGGTGTGTGGGGGGTCGCTAATGGGAGCAGGAGCTACTCCAGGGAATCAGAGTTACTGGTGGGGATGTGGTAGGGTTGGGGGGGATGAGGTGGGATTGGGGGGTCACTGCCCAGAAGGGGGATCGGTGGGGGGGGGGAGGCAGTGGGACCTGGCCAACGGGATGGGCACGAGGCACCTGGAGAATACAGGCCAGGTGGCGAGGCCCCGAGGGCAGCCCCTTCGTGCTGCCTCCAGCTCAGTACCCTCTGGCTGTCTGCTCCCGGCCCCTGCGATGGGCAGAGGCCACATGGGGCTGAGCAGCGTGTGCTCCCACAGGACCCGGTCAAGGCCCGCTGGCTGGCAGGCTCCAGCGCCCTCCTCTCGGGCCTCCTGCTTTTCCTGCTGCTGCCCCCGCTGCTCTTCTCCCACATGGAGGGCTGGAGCTACGTGGAGGGCTTCTACTTCTCCTTCATCACCCTCAGCACCGTGGGCTTCGGCGACTACGTGATTGGTGAGAGCCCCCAGCAGACGATGGGAGGGCAGCCAGAGATTCCTCTGCCTCCGCGGGTTCGTCCGCTGGGCTCCTGCTGCATGTCCACCCCTTTGGGGGCTTGGAGGCCCAAAGTCCCAATGATAGGGTCCTTGGCAGGTTCAACCCTTCCTTGTTATGTATCGAGGCTAAGGTCACTCGGACAAAAAATGACAACTGGAGTTTGAACCAGCGCTCCGGGCTGTAAGTCGCACTCCTGGCCATCTTGACAAGCCCTGGGCGGGCCTCCCATGTGCTCAGGCTGAACTATCATTCTTAGCGCTCAGCAGGTAAAGGGGGTCCCTGACCCTCCTCCCAGGTCCATAGTAGTCTCGGGGTCCCCCCTCCCCACTTCACCCTGCCCGATGAAATGCCAAGCTCCCCCTGCCCCGGGATCAGGGCCCACAAGGATCAGGCTGGAGAGTCCAGAAGACTCGGGAAACCCCAGCCCCCCACGACCTCCGCTGGAAAACAATTGGCAGCCAAACTTGGAATGGCAATAAAATGGGCTGGGGGTCCTGAAGGTCCAAGGTGGGGTTGAATCGGTGGTCAGCACCCCAGAAGGCTTGCACAGTGAAGCTGAGGCAGGTGCCCAGCAGGTGGCAGTGGAGGACATTCTGTGGGGCGGGAGGGGTGGCTGGACCCACCAGCTCAGCCTCGTCACCCCCGCCATTCCCACGATCACTGGCACCACCACCACCCTGGCCTCAGGGGCCTCTGTGCACTCGGATCCCTGACCCTAAACTGGGGAGGGGGCCCTGCCCTTCTTCGAAACTTCTTTGGAGACAGAACCCAGCCTGGAATATTGAAATTCGACTTTACCAAAGTAACAAACAGCTAGGTCACAGGCAACCTAGAGTGATGAGTGTCACCGCATTTTACTAAGGAGGAAGCTCAGGCTCAGAGACACCAAGCCATTTGCCTGAGGTTGGACAGCTGGTGAGATATTAATTCTGATCTGTTTGACTCCCAAACTCATTCTCTTTCCAGACCACCTCACCCACCCCCTATCAGGGCTACCGTGCTCCTGTCTGTAAAATGAGGGGCCTGGGCTACGGGATGGCTAAGAACCCCTCAGTGCCTTTTGGCCTGTGTGCAAGGTCCCCTTCCCTGAACCTCTCCTCCAGGAAGAACAGCCTGATGTCAGGGGCCTCATACTGTCCCTTCCTAATGTCCTCTGTTCTGGGAGGGAAGCTGTCTCTCTAGAAGGAAATCCTCAGGAACATAACTAGGTCATGTTCCCACTTCTACCCTCAGGGTGGAGAGATGTGTCTGAGGAGAGCTGAGCCCAGCAGCTCCAAGGACCACATCTACCACCTCACAGCTCAGAGAACGATTCCTGTGTCTGTTCTCTCCACTGCAGTTTCCCTTGTCGTGTCAGGGCAGTTGCATATGGCTGGTTGGGCAGGTTGAGCACTGCACAACCCTAACGGGTTGTATTCACACAGAGCACAATGAGGATGCCACCCATGGATTTGTACAGCCTCTATCCTTGTCCCCTTTTGGCTCTTATGACCTTTAAAAATGACAAGGGCTATCATGTCACCTGCCCAGCTCCTCTAAAAACCTTCAGTTTTTCTCATAGTCTTAGGATGAAGTACAAAATCCATGACTAGGCCTGCAGGAGCCCTCTATGTGACCAGGCCCTGCCTCCCTTTCCCCTCTAGGCCTCACCTTTCCATGCCGCACTTGGGCCACCCTGAAATAGTCTTCTGACCAGCAGCGGCAGCCTCAGCCCAAGGCTGTGTGAGCTGACAGGTCCTGCAGCAGCCTCCCCAATAAGGGCTCAGAGGATGAAACTCAGGGCTTGTCCCCAGTGACAGGTAGTCCTAACCCTGGCTTGGACGGCCTGGTTCTCTGAGGGAGCCAGTGCAAGGACAGGGTAGAGAAATGGGCACAGGACTCATGACCACAGTTCCTTGGGGCCCACTGACCACCAAGGCTCCCAGTTTGGCCCTGGTGGGAAGAACTGACAGGGACGACCTATATGGGGTTGAGGAGAATCTCTGCGAGGATGTCCTGAGGCCTCACGGTCCCCAAAGGCAGGGCAGGGCAGGGAGAGGGGGTGGCCCTCTCTAGACACGGTCACCCTGGAAATGGGAGGAAAGGCCTCTGCCACTGTTGAGGGAAGGGCAGTGACATCAGCACAGCCATCTCTACCCAGGCAAGGAGGGCCGTTCAGGGCCCCTGCTACCCTGTGAGCCGCGCTGTGGAAAGTGGGCGGGCAAGGGAGGCTGGGGTATGGGGCACAAGTCTCCCAGAGCCCCCTTCCACTGAACACCCTGACTCAGAGGGCCTGGCCCAAACCCACGAGAGCCCTTTCAAAGCCCAGAGGGGCTGCCTGGGAAGACTATTCCTGCTGAAAGGCTGCGGGCAGAGCTGCCCCCTTCACCCACATCACTAGAGATTTGCTACTCACTCTGGTTCCTCCTGTAGCCATTTCAGTGCCCTGTGGCAAGTGACCACCCTGAAAGCCCTTGACTGCCTTATCTACAAGGGGAAACTGAAACTGAGAGGGGGGATGATTAAGGCCATAGAGCAGGCAACCCTAGGGCAGGTCTAAGAAAGACTCCCACATCAGGGCTTTTCATATTTATGTGTTCCAGAATCTTCCATGGCTGAAAAGGGACAAACCCCAGTCTCCCCTTTTTTTCATCTCTCTCAGCCTTCCTCATCCTGGACACGGTAAAACCCTTTCTCGGATGGGAATGGTGTCTACTGTCCCTGTGTCAGCAGCACAAGGGGAGCCCACCGCTCCTCTCTGCCCACAGGCTGTGGCAGGAACAGTTCCCAGGTCCCAGCCGCCTACTCCCTGGCCCCACAGCCCCCGCAATTGCATTTGCTACTCAGTCGAGCGCCTTGCCAGCTGCCAGGACTCCTGCCACTAATGATTTCGGCTAAAAAAAAATAAAATAAGCAGCAAGAGGAACACTTCCCGTCCGCTGCCAGGAGCAAGGTGGGCTGGCGGGCGGCTGGGACACAGAGCTGGCTCACTGCTGATCTCATTTGGGACCACCGGCGGAATTGGAATTGTGGCCCATAACCCAATCGTCCTAATCCAATCCCGGCTCCAGCCAGGTGGCAAGGTTGGGCCTTGGGCTGCGGGTCCAGGTGAGGGGCCTGGTCATGGGAGGACAGGGCTGAGAGGTTGTCTTGAGGCCAGCAGGACAGGATAGAGGGTAGACAGAGGGCTGGTATGGGGAGCTAAGACAGAAAAGGATGTCGAGGAAACAGAAAGACAGTTCTTCATCCTTTGAAAGATCCCAGTGTGGTGAGGGAGGCAAGACAGACCCCAGGGAACAGACAAAGGGAAGAACTAAGTTATGAAGCAGGCTCTTGACATAACTTATCTAAGCTTCACAGCAACCCCCATCCATCCCCTCCCTCAGCCGTTATTTATCCAGCCCTGACTGTGTTGGGGATCCCAGTGTGGGAATCCAATGGCGAGTGAAACAATCACCCATCTACAGTGAACGATAAGACACCACACTGTGTGCCAAGTGCCATTCTGAGCACTTCAGATACATGAACCCATATAATAGTCACAACAGTCCTGGCAGGTGGACGCTCCTCCATTGCCTCCATTTTACAGATGAAGAAACTGAGGCCCAGAGATAAGTAAGTTACCCAACAAAAGCATATGGGCTGTGAGAGAGTATAACAGATGGGCCCAGTCTCGTCTCTGGGAAGTGAAGTCTGAAGGATAAGATCTGAAGGAAAAGGGGAAGTTAACCAGGCCAAGAGGAATTGGAAATGAAGAACATCCTGAGCTGATAAGAAGGCAAGTACAAAGGCCCTGGGGCAGGAAAGATGATAAATGGAGAAATGGGGAAAAGACCAGCGTGATTAGAGCCTAACTCTCCAAGGGGAGAGGTAGGCAAATCGAGGCTGGAGAAGTAAATCTGGGCCTTAGGATAAGAATTTAGCACTTCATCTTAAAAGCCAAAGGGGAGAAATTATTTTCCCCATTTCACAGGTGAGGGACAATCAGACAAATGAAGGGCACACAGCTAGTAAGAACTGAGGCAAGATACAAACTCCAGCACTTCTATGTTCTTCCTAAAGCTGCCTCCCTTCATATACGAGAGAATTACACACAGAGACACGCAAACAACCGATCAGACATCAGAAGCTCTTGGAAGGCTTGGGAAAACGCAGGCGGCTAGGCCCACCCCCAGAATTTCTGATTCAGTAGGTCTGGAGTGGGGCCCAATCACTTGCATTCCTAACAAACTCTCAGGTGGTGCCGCTGCTGCTGGTCCAGGGACACCACTTTGAGAACCGCTGGAGTACAGTATAAACAGAATACCTCAGACAGAGAGGAAATTTAGTTTCCAAACCCAAGATGCCAATCCAGGGCGGCTCCCTTGGATCTTACAGAGCTGACCACCAGGCCAGCCGTCCCAGACCAGTTTGGACTTCCCATATCGCTGCTCATACCCATCAAGCCCTGTGTGTCCAGTTCTGTTTGGGGAACGCGACCCTGGCTTCCCCAGGCCTCCGTCCTCTGATCTTGCCTCTCCCCCAGGGATGGACCCCTCCCGGACGTACCCGCTGTGGTACAAGAACACAGTCTCCCTGTGGATCCTCTTTGGGATGGCGTGGCTGGCCTTGATCATCAAGCTGATCCTCTCCCTGATGGAGACCCCCGGGAGATCGTATTCCTGCTACCACCACAGCTCTAAGGGGAAATTCAAGCCCCGAAGCTGGAGGCAGGGCCCAGATGGAGAGGCAGAGCCCCACCCCCCACAGCCAGACTGCTACCCGGAGCGGCCTATGGGAATCATGCAACATCAGGAACCCTCTACTCAGATCTCATGCTGTAGAAAGGGCAGCTAGCTATACTCCAGTATTAGTCCCATCTTCCTCCTCAGTAATAAGACCTCTTATTTTAAGCTTGGCACATGACCACCCAGACAAAAAACTACATTTTTTGTCTTCTCTTCAGGCTAGGTACAGCTATATGGTTCAATTCTGCCCAGTAGGATACATCAAGAGGTATCCTGTGTGACATTGGATGTGACTTTCAATGCAGGGGGTGGGCGGGTGGGGGGCCGTGTGTGCTTCTCTTCCCCCACTTCCTTCTTTTAGTTGCAATGCTAATATGGTGGCTGGAGCTCTGGCAACCTTATGGCACCATGAGGTAGAGGCCATGTTTGAGACTGGTGACACAATAAAGTAGAAAGAGCCTGGGTTCCTGATGGTTACAGAGCCACCATAACAAACTTGGACTGAAAAAGAAGAAAAAAGAAGATGAAAAGAAAAAAAAAACAACAACAACAAAAAATAAATAAATAAATAAACTTGGACTGAATAACACCAGACTTCATTTATTGTGAGAGAGAAATAAATGTCAATGTTATTTAAAACACTGCTGTTTGGGTTTTTCTGCCACTTACAACCAAAATTAATTCTAACTGACACACCCATGCCCAAAGGAAAAGGCAGCATCTGAGGCTGGAGAGAAACTATTCCCACCCCAGGTAAGTGTGCCCAGAACTGATGGAGAGAATGGATTAAGGGCTAGAGTACAGGCCCCCTACACCCTCAGACACCCTCCAGGTAAACCTACTAAAGATTTGTGAGAATTCTCGGTGCTATTTCAGCCACCAGGTGGCTGGTCCCAGTTGACTGCTGAATCCTTGACCTGTTGCTCACTCACACCACAGAAAAGCCAGGGGGATCCTCCTGCCCCACCCTGCCCCATTGCATTTGAAGATTCCAACCACAGTTTGCAAAGCCAGGGAGGGTTTGCAGAGGTCACGTCTATTTGCAGAGCTTCTCACCCTGAGCATTTCTGCCTCTCACTCAAGGTTGCTACTAGGGCAGCACATAAAGGTGTAGTCCCCACCACACCCAGGTCCCCAAGCCCGGCAAGGAGCCCTTGGCAGTACCAGCCAGTACCTGAAAGTCACCTGGGGCAGCTGGGTACTTGGCCTCAGTGGGTGCCCATGATTCTGCTCCCCTCCACCATCCTGTAGGTAAGCATCACAAGTACCCAGGGGGTTTATATGGCTCTTCCCTGTGGACAAAACTTTCAGTATTAAGACCCTCCTGGAACCGGGCCAGGGGCAGCCTTTTGGCCAAGAAAGAAGGAAGAGTTGTTACACCATCTGGCCTGAGCCTAAGTGAACCCAAGGCCAGACCCAGGGGCAAACACCAGCAAGTAAACAATAAGGCCCATGCTTATCAGAACCAGCCGATATGTCGAACAGTTTTGAGGGGGGGCGCGAGGATTAAGACAAAAGACAGGGGGGGGGGCGCGAGGACTAAGAAAAAAGACAGAAGAGAGAGTTACCGGGAGGACTCCAGATACTGAAGCCCCGAGTTTATTTTCCACCACCATTATATACATCCAGGGTGTGTACAAAAAAGAAGGGACAAATACGCATTACCTCATTCCAGAGTAATTCATTGATAATCCACTTAGAAACTTAAAGTTCAGTGGGGACAATTTCTTCCATAATCCCAGATAGCCATCTATCTCTATTGTGTCTCCCAAGGCACTGGCCATTCTCTCCACATACCTCGAGATTAAGCAAAATACCCTCCAGGTGCAAGTAAAACAAGAAGTAAAACAAGATATGCAATCAGTAAAGTCAGCCTGCATGGCTCCCAACACATGCTCACTTCCTAAGGCCCACAGGCTGAGCAGAGGTCAATGGAGGTGAGGAAGAGATTGCTGAATGTCGAAATGGCATCCTTTGTACTTAACATACTCCAGGAAAAAGGACCCTAGCAATTCAAAACTGGGAGACACAGGAGAGGCCAGCACACTGGGTTGGCCTCTATGGTCCCAACTTGCCTTGAGCCCCTTTCTCCTCGTGCTTGGACTCTCTAGACAGCGCCCTTCTCTCCCCCACCGAGCCCTTTGCCCATGTACACCCCTACTCAAGCTCTGAATACCTGCCCCACAGGGAACCAACCTGTGGTGCTGGGGGCGGGGGGAAGAGGAAGGCTTCTGATTGATCCATTCCGTACAGGTGTCTGCTCCGCAGCCAATGAGAAGAGTCACTGGAAATCTGAAGTACAAATCCAGTGGGGAGGGGCACATGAATAGGGTGGGCATGTGGAGTCGGGGAGAGATCATAAGAAGCCATGAGGGAAGTCACCTGGAGGAGTCTGGATTTGCAAAAGGCACAAGGACAGAGAATCAGACCTCTGGATAGAAATAAAAAACGCAATGGGCAGCGAGTCTTTCCCTCGTAGGCAGGAGAGAGGCGAAGTGGGAGCCGTGATGACATGGTAGGGGCAGCCTGAGAAAGCTGTTCTGCCTTGTGTGGGCAAGGAATCAAGTCATTCGCTCAGTCACTCGACCTGGGCCAGGCCACCAAGGTCTTGAGGAGGAAGGACAGGGGCCCCCTCAGAGCAGTGTACTGTATTTGTTAAGGGTGCAGTGTTTGGAGACGCTTGCCTGGCTCACCATCTCTGTGACCCTGAGCAAATCACTTACGCGTATGCGTAAGGTCCATTTGCATCAGTTATCTCTTCTGCAAAATGGAGATAGGAGCAGGGCTGGTCTCCCAAGATTAAATGAGCGAGTGTGTAAAATACCACAGGAGTATGCCTTAGCCCAGAGGAAGCATGGTGGGCACTTCAGCTGCTGGCATCCTGCAGCAGGCCCTGAGGACAAGTCAGAAGGCAGACGCTATGCAGGCCTGCAGCTATGCAGCAGGCGTTGTCTCCGCTGACCCCGTCTCGGGGGGCTCGGGGCTGGCCAGGCAGCCTGGGCTGAGCAAGCGGTGACGCAGGACTGAGCCCTGCCCTGGGAGGCTCCCAGACTGATACCATCACAGGGCTGGCCAGGATGAGGGGTCTGAATGCGCTCATGAGTCACAGGAGAACCTCCTGGCAGAGACCCGGAAGTTTATTCCAAGTTTGCACACACAGGGCCAAGGGACCGGCCAGTGCTGCTCCTTTGATGCGGAAGGGCAGGCAGACCCCCCTCACACCAGCAGCTGCGTCTGCCTTCCCTCCTGGCCGGGCTGCCCAGCTCTTTGGCTTCAGCACAGCCAGGGCAAGAACAGACTCGATGTCACATGATGGTTCCCTTTAAAACAGTAGGATCTTGAGGTGGCCAGTTGGCTCAGGTGGTCAGAGCACAGGCTTCTAACGCCAGCGTTGCCAGTTCAATTTCCACATGGGCCAGTGAGCTGCGCCCTCCACAGCTAGATTGAAAACAATGATTTGACTTGGAGCTGATGGGTCCTGGAAAAAACACACTGTTCCCCAATAAAGTTTTTAAATAAATAAAATAAAAAAATAAAACTGTAGCATCTCTTATCATCATCATCATCATCATTTCCTAATATTTAATGGATGCTTCTTAAGTGTCAGTCACTGTTCTAAGCTCTTTCCTTGAACCAAGTCATTTACTTCTCCCGTCAACTCTACGAAAAAGGAGCTATTATTTTTAATGCTGTTTTAAGACAAAGAAAATGGGATTTGGGGTGCGGGCATTAAGACCAAAGGTAGCCACCAGTCCCTGCAGGTCATGCCTGCTCTCTGGTGGTGAAGATAAATGCCCAGCCTGGAGGCAGGGAGGCTCTTCCATTAAGCCCTGGGTGATCTTGGCCAGCCAATCCCCTTTCTATGCCTCCTAACCTGCAAAAGAGGAGGCTGACTTCAGGGAGTATGAATTTTATTACTACTCCCTCAGCTTTTGTCTGGATTGACCACATTTCAGGGAGGGCAGTTCCCAGCCCCACCCATCTCCTAGGGC